GCCGGTACCTATTCGTAATTTTTCAGTTCTAGTGGTTAATACACAGGGCTAAATTAGTCAGTCTCTATTGGCCTACAGGTTCATTTTATGTATACCTCAATATTCCCAGTAGTCGGAAGTTGGTCACATATTGAACAGTGGTAAGCGCTAGAGCCTAGAACACACTTTTCATTCTTCCTAAATCTCTGACGCGATCATATTTGCCACGGAGTTTATGTGTATAAAGCAACTATGGACATGTTATCATTTCACCACAATAAATGTGTCACCTACGTATCATTAACAAAGCTCAGAGGCAGGACTGCATATTCAATCGACCGCAAGTTCACACTATATATATGTAATTTTACCTCATACCCCCAATATTAGCTGATATTAATTGCCTATCGTTTCAGTAAATGTACAATCTACTGCCCTTAAAAAACACCATTAATTGCCACTAGACGTGGCACTTATTCTGTTTATTTCTCAAATATCTATCAGAAACTTCAGTTACGGACATTATTTAGTGCTATCGAGCCTCTCAGTGATCGTAGAAGTATGTAGCTACCTTACTAATGAATGACGCACAATAGCTTGATATCTGCCAACTGTAGTGGTCCTATATCGACCTCGGTGACTAGGAGAGGAATTCAGGATGCGCGTTTCATCCCATTTGGGACTCGTTAGCTTGGCGTTTCTGGACTCCAATGACTATGTTGTTCCCATCGTGGCTCAAACCCAAAACCCTTCGCTTCGAACGCCGGAGCATTATCCACTAGGCTACTGGGGCACAATAGCCACCTCTTGTGCAACGGGTGTCCGTTGTTGCAATGATGCTTGTAGTTTTCCGTTGCATGGCGGTATAGAGGTATTTGCATAGAGCCGAACTGCTGAACCTCGGTTGGCAGATGGGCTCCTATGCGGATGCGTCGATACTGCCCTGTATAGCAACGGGAAATTACAAGTACCATTACAACAACTGATACCCGTTGCACAAGAGGTGGCTATTGTGCCCCAGTAGCCTAGTGGATAACGCTCTGGCATTTGAAGCGAACGGCACTGTGTTTGAGCCTAAAAGGGAATAACATCACTCACTAGGGTGCAGGTACATTCGGCTAGCGAGTCCTAAATAGGACGAAATGCGCGTTCTGGATTCCTCTGCTAGTCACCAAGATCAATATAACATCATGAATATCCGGCAGTATCGGGGCATCCACATTGGAGCCCGTCTGTCAACAAAGGTCGGGCGATTCGGCCCTGTATAGCAACCTAGTGTTCCTAGTTAGAATAATAATAAGGAACAATTGGTAAGTAAGAATACTAAAGTAAGTCACTTAGATTTCAATTTCCCGACAACATTTCGATTTCGACCACTTGCAATAATTTAGTAAATCACTGAAGATTTCTTGATGTTGCAGGGTTAGATGATTGCTACACATCTTAGAATCGAAACCTAATTCATCGAGACAAGACAGATATTTGAAATGATTTAAGCTGTATGAATTAAAAAAATACTAACAGATAAAGAGAATATGTTAGAAATACAAAAATAACCTACTAAGAATAAAATGTGTAGGATTCAAAACAGAAAGAACTGAAGGTTTATTCCAAGTTATGATAAGGTCACAAACTTATTGTCTTCAGCCTACAGTCGAAAGGTTATCCCAACCAATTTGATTAAGTACCGATCTTCCTGAACACCGGTTCCCTTGAATTTCAACGAAAACCAACTAGGTGTGATGAAGTGCGAACATGAAGCCTCAGTAAAACATTGAGCGTTTGAAGAGTAAGCAATTGAGAAATAGCTAACAGTTGCGTCCGATATCTTTACCACTAAGCTTAAGGTCATAGATGTAAATAATGCTTGCGTTATAACAGACCAGAGAAATCAAGACGTAAATTTAGTCACATATTTGAATCGACTAGTCCATTTATTTTTAAGGATAATTTATACTCGAAGGTTTTTCCAGTATTACCTTTTAGACATTTGTACAAGCTCTCTAAATACTCGTTGACTATTGCTTGACGCTGTTTCACTGAGATGTAATCGTCACTTAACTGTTAATTATTCCCCTTTTTTACCCCAAATACCTTTGTTTCATGTTTGGAGTGTTGCAGATGTGCCATTCACCACCATATATGTATTACCAGTAAATCTAATAGAAAGGAAAATCAAAACTACTGGTAAAGTAATCACGATAATGTCAACATGTGCTCAATCTAGTCAGTGACTCAAGCGTGAGAAAGGATAAGAAATTAGGGCAATATTCAGACAGTGAGATGAACAGAAAGTCAAAAAGACACGACGGTGTTAAAGTCATACCTTGTAGTTATCAGGGTCAATCATGTAAAACAAGCATAGCGGCTTCTTACAGATGGTTCCAATTCTGCCAAGCCTAGAGTTTCTTGCAACTCCAATCACAATCTCCAAGTGAAAACAACGCGTTTGAGGTGAACTATCACAAAAAGGATAGTAGATAAAGCTTTGCAGATACAGTGACTGGAAGCGATACAATGGAGAATTGTAGTCTGTGAAGACGTTCAGGCTTTGTCTAATCAATGTTATGATGAATTGCTTTGCATCACAATTCTTCTAAATAGAATGACTTTAAAGGCCACTCTAACAACAAATGAAGTAGCCAATAGATTTTCTCTATTTCGCCTTGAAATGCAGAATATGAGAAATCATCTAGCTATAAAATTTTGAAAAAATAAC